ACTAGTCACTATAAGTAAAAATAAATTCTGCGCTCCCTGATTCATTCAGTAACGCCTCGCGATCGGCTGACATTTTCCGTTCCAATTTGGCTGCATGTACTTCCAAATCCTCACCCCAGTTAATATTCTTCTAGATGTCTTTTTTTTCTTATTCGTTGATCACGTTAAGAGAGTTTCAAACAGGTATATATTGCTGGCTACGTGCTTGGTTTATGATAATATACTAAGTTAAGGTCAGAAACTGCACGAAATTTCTCAGTCCGGAAAAACTTTAGCTTTTACAGTTGTTTGATATTGTTAGCGAATTGGGCATTGAAATAGGCCCCGAGCTATAATGCCACTTCTTTTTCGTTTGTATATATGTATCGTTGTGATGATTGTATTATAGCGTCATGTATGAATTCTATAGACTGAAACTAACAAACAGCCTTGAACTAGAATCTTTTATTTGGAACAGGAAACGTTAGACAAGTTTACAAAGATAACTACTAGGACTGTTTTCAAAAGCCAACAATAAATAAAAAATGCCAGTGTCCGGATATCCGTACGTACAATTATACAATATGTAATATGAAGATTGTGATCTGTATTAAACTATTAATATAAAGGACCTAGTATATAATCCATTCTCAGTGCCTTCATTAAAACATAATGTAAAACTCAGTTTTAATATTTATTAATGCTACGATTAATTTTGGTCATGTTACGTCGTATAAATTTGCAGCACATACTTTTTAAGCATCAGTGTAAGTCGCAAATTCCCTCCCCCGTGAACTGCGTGCGCTTCAGTAACTCCCTAGTATCAGATAATTACAAGTGTACATGTATACACGTTTTAACATTCCACTCGTCTGCAAAGTCATAAAGTCATTAGCTGGTTGTTATTGCACGCAGTTGTTCTGGTCTATTGCGCAATCAGACGTGAGTTGAGCTGCAGGCGCGTCGTAATATATGGGGGTTGAACTCGTAATATATGGAATGAGATCGGTCTAATGAAGGAAGCAAAATTCAGGTATGCGTTGGAACAGATCAGTTTTACACTTGCGTGCTACTGGCATGATACATGACGCATCGCAGGTGTTGGCGTCCGTGCGTGCAAGCGTGCGTGCGTGCGTGCGTGCGTGCGTGCGTGTGTGTGTGTGTGTGTGTGTGTGTGTGTGTGTGTGTGCGCGTGTGTGTGTGCGTGCATGCGTACGTGCGCGCGTGTGTGTATGGAATCTTTGATTGACTACTGTGCGCTCATTGTGCGGTTAGTCAGATACCGCGTGTGCGTACGCTGTCGCGCATATTGCAAAGTTCATCTGATGTGTTTACAAGCGGTTCTGAGTGATAGCGAATGGTAGTGAATGTTTAGTCACGGGTAATATACGGGTAGTGCGTCAACCCGACGCTATTTCATAGCTTGGCCAATGTTTGTTTGAGAAGCAGGTGGGCGAGGTTGGGGGGGGGCAGCCGAATATTTATCAACAGATATGGGTGTGCCTTGATAAGAGGGGTGAATAAATGGCAGATTCATTCTCTCGTTATTCGCGTCTGATGATAAGCCGCGGGGCTAGCGCAGCAGCATATATGCGTTTTACATTTGCCGGCCGCACTTACGCGCCCGACGATGACCTATATCGATAACAGGCTCGCTAGTGTAGGCCACGGCTATGCTAAATATGGTTTGTTTCATCACGCGTACACGTTATTTCTGAATTTCGTGTTTGTGACGTCGTTTCTCGTATTGCAACTTTATATTACATCGTACTGTAATGAGCTTGCCTGCGTAGAGACTCCTGCCATTTAAGTAGTGGCTGAATAGGTGCGGGAATTTTGGTAATACTTCAGCCGTACTTGGTCTTCCGTGGCTGCGTTTAAGTAATTGCGCGTGGAATCGTAGATTGTGAAAGGTAACGCTTCAGTGTACTGTGGTTGGAAGCCGCGGGCGCAGGGCGTCATTTGAGCATATATCGACCCATTATTTATACCGCCACATACAACAACATACGACATTATACGACATTATACAACAATATATGACAACAATACAACATAACAACATGAAGCTGATGAAAATGTTGGTCGAAAAGTAAGAACAACTTCGTGGGGATAGACACCAGACTGTGAAAGTCAGTGCCAACGTTTTTGATGCTGCTACATGAATGTCTTTTTATAGAATTATTGAACTGAAATTTGCAAGGCCTACGTAACTCGTGTCAAACCAGGGTATACAGATAAAAAAAGAAGAAGATATATTGATATAAAAAATATTGATCAAACTTTATGATGAATAATACGTGCAAATCCCCCTGCTTCATTCATTCTTTATAATATCGCTACTACTAGACCATGCACGGAATTCTACTAAATCGCCTACTATACACGTGAAAAGAATAGTTACTACTCCCCTAAATTCCCCTTAAATTTCGCACTCGGTTTAAAAAAAAAATTGTCATAGATCGTAATCGTTCTGCTCGTCATTGCAGCACATTTGTCACCGTTTGCATTTTGCACGTCTCATTGTTGTTGAAGTTCTGAGATAGACAGTGAGTCGTTCTTAAAACGAGATTAGTGTAAAAAAAAATCGTTTAAAAAACGTTTGAAACCATTAGTCCTTTGATAGATTTGTAGTACGTTTCACAACTCCCCATTTCTCACGGGGAAATTTATCTCATTATCGCGCAATACAGTCATAATGAAAAATAATGAATTCCTGAAAATTTTGCAAACATTGTTAAAAACAAAATTAAATGAACCTATTGCACTGCACAATTCAGGAAATCTTTAAAAAGAACTTGGCGAGAGTAGTAGAACTCAAAACTAGTTTATCTTTGTTAACGTAGCGTAGACTTCCCGGGAGCCCAACCAGTTAAACCATACCTCTGATGTGTTGGTCCAGGCCTCTCGTTCACATATATACATATGTGCTATAGTAGTGTTTGATATCTGTATAAGGTAATATGTGGCTACGGTTTTATTTTTGACAATTATTGTTGGGGTAATGACACAGTGATTTGCATTTCACAGGTGCGTGCATTCCTATTGTCACTGCGCTTGCCTCCAAAAAGGCATGAATGAATATAATCGGGGTTTATCGGTGACTGCCATCTGCCGGGGCTTGCTTTAGTGTTGATTATACCCTGAGTTGGCGAGCTGTTACACGTGTAGGGGTTAGCGTGGCAGTCATGGAACTACAACGCAGGGTATGCGAGCATCCCCGTGGAGTGTATATTACAGTATGTCTTCTAGCTTGGCTGCTGCATAGTTGGCTCTGTCTTGTATATGTCAGGAACATACTCTCATTGACTGCTTGTGTGTGCGTGCGTGCGTGCGTGCGTGCGTGCGTGCGTGCGCGCGCGCGTGCGTGAGCGCGCGCACGCGTGTGTGTGTTTGAACGTGAGTATACGAGTGTGTGTGTGCGTGCATGTGTTTGAGTGGAGATTGCTCTGCTGTCTTATTATATGAAACTGGGATGGGTAGTACGATCACAAAATTTGCCAGTCACGTAGCCAGTACAGTGAAAAATCGCGCAATCATATTATATTATCATTATCACACTACCTTAGTTACGTCCCGTTAGTGCTCAGCTTGTAGTCCCGTCTTCAAGTGCATGTGTATAGTTTCTACTTACCCCTCACCACTTCCGTGTAGTAAGCTCAAAGCTCAGACAAGTACCAAAAAGTTCATATCTGTTCTCAGCGTAGGCCCATGTTAGTTACCCTTAGCTTTAGCCCGCTACCTTATAATAGAACTTCCCAACCAGTCCTAGTGGCAGTTATGAATAGTTTACTATAATTATAGTAAGTAGTAGATAAATATAATATCAAGAGATAATAATACATCATTATGTATTATCACAATTATACAATTACATAATTATACAATTAATAATGTATTATTAAGTGTTGATAATTTGCATCGGCTATAATCATAGCTGTACTTATGTAGCCCTCTGCACTGCCACAGGAGCGAAGTGCAACGAAGAGAGAACTAACCATAACTATTGTCCGAGGACCATAGCGGGTGGAGTAAGTCTGTAGTCTCCTCAGAATCATGCAGGTGCAGAAACACTGCCAATAAATGCGGTGCAGAACCGAATTGTCACCATCACGTTATCAATGATCTCTTCACATCTGATCTCAAGCTATAGTCTCATTTAAATACACGTACGCATAGATTCAGTCTGCTACAACTCGGGAGTCGAGTGAATCTATAGTGCACAGGGTTCTGCCCAGGATTTTTTAGTGTCGGACGCATCCAGTTGCAAGCGCCGTAAGCGCGAAGCCAATCTAGGGGGGTCTGGGGGCATGCCCCCCTGAAAATTTTTGATTTTTGATAGTCTGAAACTCAATTTCCTGCATTCTGAGCAATAAAAAGCCCATATATCAGACATTTTATATTTATTTTTTTATATCAAAAATTAGTGCCGGGCGGAGATATATTGTGCTGGGCGGCAACCGCGAGTGCGGGCACACCCGCCCACCGCCGCCCACCGTGGGCAGAACCCTGAGTGCACCCTCAGCGTATTCTTGAGATGTGTCCTCCCCACCTCTCCCCCACCAGCACCTCGCAGGCGCAGTAATCTCGTAGCTTAGGCACCGCCGCGAAAAAGTGGTTGTTTTTTCTAGCGCCCCGATTGGGTTGAGTTACGTCGTTTCGCCCGTTGTGCTCGCCCGCATGCAGCAGCAGCAGCAGCAGCAGCAGCAGCGTATGTGGATGCTCGGGTCACACGCCTCTCATTCCTCGTGGGTCTCCGCACCGTACATCGCAGACGACTCGCGACCGACGAACGGCATTCGTGGCGAAAGAAGCAGGCGATGTTATGACGTTCCGTCGTTGTGCAATTCGCGCGTTTGCTCGTCACCGGCGTGGTTGGCACGGTGCGAGCTGTACGCGCCCGTAGAAAGAGACCCCCGCTCCTCGCGCGTGTACACATTCATCGCAGGGTACACGGACTCGGCAGTCTAGCTGTGAAAGCGCTCTCGTTCACGAGGAGGGAGGTGGCGGTGGTGGTGGTGGTGATGGTGATGGTGGTCGTGGTGCTATAAACAGGCCGCGTTCCGTGGAAATAGATTCTCTCGGCGGCGGAGCTAGATCGAGTCGTTAGTGGATAGAGGGCGGTGTTGTGTTTGCCACGGCGGTGATCGGTGGTTGGGTGTAACGGCAGTTCGTCCGTGTTTTTGACGTAGAGACGTTTACGTTTGCCTATCCTTACATGCGTGTGCAAGTGCTGATCATATATTTAGTTATACTACTGGTGCCGATTCAAACCCCGGCGTTGCTGGTTCGTCTACACATGCACAAGTCGTGAACACATCGTTATATTACTGTTGGCGATTCAAATGCTGCTGTGATCAGTTCGTCTGCACGCGTAGAAGTTGTGATCGTATCGAACGTTACACTAACTGGTGCCAACTCAGATGCCGATGTAGCTGGTTCGGTCACACGTGTGCAACTGGTCATCATATAAAGCTCTTGATCGGGTATAGTTGTACTACCGTTGCCAATTCAAATCCCGATGTTGCTAGTTCGTCTGCACGCGTGCAAGTTGTGATCGTATCATTATACTAACTGGTGCCGATTCAAATCCCGATGAAAGTCGCTGTGAGATGGATCAAGCTGCGTCCATGGTTAACGTTGGTAGAGTGAGAGGATGCCGCAGTGTACCCACCAAGTTGGCCACAAATCCACACGCGTTTTGGGTTGTGCTCAAGCAGCAGAATGAGAAGGTATTTAGGCATGAAATAGTTAATTAAAGTACGAGGTTCTTGTAGAGTTTTGAACAAAGGCGCGATGTTTCGTGGATACGCATTTCTGCGACCCTGCGTGTGGATATATTCGTCTGTACGTGCTTGCTTGTGTTGTGTCATGTTGTGTGTTGTGTTGCGTAGTGTGGTGTGGTGTGGTGTGGGGGTGTATCATGTCGTGTGGTGTCGTGTCGTCATGTGGTGTCGTGTCGCGTGGTGTGAGGTGGTGTGGTGTGGCGTGATGTGGTGTAGTGAGGTGTGGTGTGGTGTCGTGTGATGTGGCGTGATGTTGTGTTTTTGTGTTGTGTTGTGTCGGTTCGGGGCGAGAAGTGGACTATGGCTGCCTTCGCTCCAACTAATCGACCCAATAAGCTATCAGTTTCCCCTTACCATCTTCAATCTTTCGTATTTTAATAGTTGTTTACCATTACGTATGCTGTAGCAGGAGTTGAATGCAGTGACGAAAAAGATAAAGGTATAAATATCAGTTACGTTTAGTTTCCTGCTTCCGGTTTTAGTCGTTGATCGGAAACCATCGTTACTACTGTTTCTACCCTTATTATGATCTACATTAACGCAATAGTGACTAGTGTATGTATGCCACTCACGCAATCCAACTACCTTAGCTTCTGATATGTAAAAGCTTTCAGTCAGCGATGTCATTTTAAACACATTAAAACACATTTCGATTCGCTGTTAAATGGCTATTGTAGTAATGTAATCATTTTATATTGTTATTATTATTATTATTAAATTATTATTATTATTATTATTATTATTATTATTATTTGCATGTCCATTGTGTTTTTAGGGCAAATAAGTTAGTCTGACTTGGTAACAATGGGATGAAACGTATGATAACATTTAATAACAGAAAAATGGCTAACGTGAAGCAGTAATGACAATTTGTAGGGAGCCAGCCATTTAGTGAACCGTGACAGACTGCAGTGGCACCAGCTCAGAGCTTGATCTTTTTTTTACTGCAGCCACCAATAATTACAATTTTTTTCAAAATAGGCTGGCTGGTTGAATGAATGCTAACAGATAAAATTACCATTCAGATAGTGCAGCGTCACAACTAAACGTCACAGATGTTTGTAACTAATTTTCAAGAAAGATCTATTGCCGTGTAATTTATTGACACATGATGTTAATTGCGCTGGAGGGACGTACACGTCTATAGATTATTTTAAACAGTTTATTAGTTTGCTAAGCTACTAGTAGCTAGTTACATGGTACCCTGTAATTAATTACATCTTGGCAATGTGGCTTGAGCCCCTTGACTGGTGATGAGGATATAGCTGGGTGGTGCAGTAAGAAAGTGACTGCCTGCGTGGCGTAGCGAATGGCTGTGTGGTGTGGCATGATTATAGGTGGTGAACAACAGTAGAGGGCGGCCATAGGCAGCAGGCCTGAATAAGCATCGAACAGAAATTAATTAAAAATACTCACACTGTTACTGCGCTTACACAACATACACTTTATTCATGTTAAATAACTACAGATTCATGCTCTATGCTCCGCTCGAAACTTGCCAGCTCTATGATGCGAATTTCTGCAAAGTTCTCTGAACACATTTCAAACACAACTAGACAGAGGGCACTCACGGAGAGTGCATACCTCCGCGAGCATGTAACATGTATGTGCTCGCTGGTGGCGGCTGCTGACTGACTCGCCTGCTGCTGACTCGCCGCTCACTGGTGGCTGCTGCTGACTCGCCACTCGCTGACTCGACGTGCTATCGATTCGCCGCTCACTGGTGGCTGCTGCTGACTCGCCACTCACTGACTCGACGCGCTATCGATCGCGCGGTGGCTACACACACACGAGAGCGATTGCATGACCTCCGTTTGCGCGGAGGTAAAAATGACCAACCGGTCGCTGTGGCTACGCCACCTGACGGAATGACAACAACACGACAAGACCAATTTTACTTAGAACTAATGCTTTCTAGACGTCCACGAGGCATCTAACTTGCGTGCATAATGCGAATTATTGCACTCTAGTGCCGAATTTCGGCGGAAAAAAAGGCCTGTTCTAGAGACGAAATAGTGCAACGCTGAACAATTTGCGGAGGCTTACTGTTGTATGCCTTCTATAACTGGGCGGTTGGTGTTATGTAGACATGGCTGAATAGGTGGTACACCATAATTATGGTTGACTGGCTAGATCGTATATTCTCATAATGACTGACTGGGTCGTGTACTGTCATCGTGACTGACTGGGTCGTGTACTGTCATCATGACTGACTGAGTCGTGTACTGTCATCATGACTGACTGAGTCGTGTACTGTCATCGTTACTGACTGAGTCGTGTACTGTCATCGTGACTGACTGAGTCGTGTAGTGTGATTATGACTGACTGGGTCGTGTACTGTCATCGTGACTGACTGAGTCGTGTACTGTCATCATGACTGAATGGGTCGTGTACTGTGATCATGACTGACTGGGTCGTGTACTGTGTTCATGACTGACTGGGTTGTGCACTGTCATCATGACTGACTGGGTTGTGTACTGGTCGTACAGAGTAAACGTGGCGTCATTATAATGTTCCGTATATATACTATGTATGCTCTCCCCAGATTTTCGGCTATGCTGTAGTTGGGATGGGTGCACTGCTATTTATGTTGTGCATTGTGGGTCTGTAGGTCGAGAAGTCTGATGTGGCTCGCGCCTACGACATATGTGTTCATGTGCGTATAGACGGGTAGCTTTCCCCCTCTCTCTCGTTCTCTCTCTCCCCCTCTCTCCTTCTCTCTCCTCTCCCCTATCTTACTCTCTCCCTCTCTTCCTCCCTCTCTCCCTTCCTCCCCCCTTGCCTCTCAACGCCTGCCTCTTCCCCTCTCTCTCCCTCTCTCACAAACACACTGTCCTTCCCGTCCTCCCTCCCTCCCGTCCTCCCTTCCTCCCCCTCCCTCTCTACCTCTCCGCCTCCCCTCTCTCCCTCTCTGTCCCTCCCTACCTTCTTCTCACTCGCTCTCTCATTTCCCCTTTCTCTCTCCACCCGTGTGTTAGTGTCCGCGAGCTCCTCACTGGAACTACGTGGTTAGAGGTAGTAGGCGGCCAGTCCGTTTCTCATACAGTCAAATCTAAAAATTCCGAACGCCCTCAAAGACGATTTGTAAGTCCCAACATCATCTGAGACATGTAAAATGTATCTGTCTATAATATCCCCCCCCCCCGGCCCTATAAATCGAACTAAACGGGCAGTCCCGATTGTGGTCTGCATCGGGTGAGTTGGCTTGTGCATTGCTCGCGATATATTTGTGTTAAATCTAGCGTACATAGACGAACATGCCACTTTGGCCTTTTGCCCTTATCAGCAGATCCCGACGTACGAAAAACGGGTATGTGTCACGGTGGTGTGAAGATTCGGCTCTGGCAAACTCAACACCAGCAGCGGCAGATTCGTTTAATATTCTTATCTTAACATATAGTCATTATCAGCATTGGTTATTTAAACTGAAGAGTGTGTGTATTCAAAGTTCATCTTCATACCTTAGCGCCATTTTAAAAAAAGGTCGATTTTCAGTATTGCCAAATCCAATGCTATTTGCTTGCCCAGGGCGTGTTCTGTTTATTGTTCTGTTTGAATGCTGCAGACAGCAATCATTTTCATGTAGTCCAATATTCTGGGCAGATCTACCAATCGCTTTCAAACTGTGGCTTTGATTGTGTATTTAGAATAGATTTACGGCGCTTCACGCCTTCCTAGACCCCTCCCGCCTATGACAGTGTCCATTCATTAACCACCTTGCAAAATGGGCGTGAAAGGAAATAATAAATAAATAAAATAAAATAACCCCGGCCCTTCCCGCCTCTAACTTCTGTCTTTATTTTGAGACTTGAGAATTTGTAGACTGTACTGCGAGCACGCATATGGTGCGAGAATGAAACTGCGGTCTATCTGTTATGCGCGAACCCAGACTGATTGCAAAATTCACCGTCCGTCTACGCGACTGAGTCCACGCGGCTCTTCATTGTCCTTTGAAGCTAACCTTCGCTTGTCAATAATTTACGGAGTCGGTTTATCTGCTAACCAACAGAATCTTAGTAGGTTGTAATATTATAGTTTGTGCGGTGATGAATGTTCGTGATATTATATAGGAAGCGCGTGCAGTGTGCGAGTGAGACATTAGCGCCGAGGGCGTATATAGCACACACATGCGGCAGTTCCTAACCACATGCGTCTTGTTGATGTTTGTTTATACAAAGCTTTGGCATTCATTCTAATGATCATATTTGCGAGTGAACGCAAAAACCCGCACCAACTCCTATAATGTCACGTGGTAGCTTAAAACGACGAGAGGCAGTATTATTTACAAAAATTCGGCCGTAGTATTTTGTCTAGTAGTTGTTTGCAAGTAGTAATCGTGCGGTGTGAAAGTTTCAGCCTCGTATGTATAATAAATAAATTACGAATTTTAATGATCATGGTGGATAAGAGTAAACAAGTGGGTTTGTATAGTGTGACAAGTGTGTTTGCAGAATGTAGTAGTTGGGAAGGATCGCGTGCATATCAATTTGTCAAGAATGTGTTGTTTTACACCGATAGTCAGCACGTGTATGCTCTATTGGTATTAGTTGAGCGAAGTTAAATCCTATCATTCACTTTCACATATTATCAAGATTTCGATTTGGAAGGTGAATCAGGAATGCATGTTCATTCACAAAAATTCGCGTACCAGTAAGGAACTTTTAAGGAAGCTGTTAGCCTCAGATCAGCCTAGTTTACCGTGATCGACGTCCATTGGTGTCTACAGTGTCCACAGTACCATGTCTACAGTCGACACGTGAACGTATAATTTAGTGGCATGCAGCTATAGTTTCCCTTTTCGCATTCCCACGGGTATGGCAGTTAAAGGCTCACAATGCGCATCCAAACGCTAATTTCTCCAGTACTAGACTAGCAAATACTTCGTGGCATGCATAATCACACTACCTTATGACAAAATAAACTCTAGTTCCTCCCATTTCACTGCACGTTGTCTTATAAAAGTTATTTTGAAAATACCTCCAATGTTGTTGAAATTCTCCGATGTTGTTGACAGTTTCCCCAATCCCCAAGCAACCGTGCAGCGGTGCTGCGGTACAGCGGTACGGGCGCAGCAAAGATAAAAACATGTGACGTCACGTCACCACTTCGAGGCTATATTGTTTGGCAAACAGTCGGCGTTTGCGCCAGAATGCCAGTTTTCTTACCTCTTTCTTGTGGGTTTTAAGCAAACGCGCAGTGAAATGGGAGGAACTAGAGTTTATTTTGTCATAAGGTAGTGTGATTATGCATGCCACGAAGTATTTGCTAGTCTAGTACTGGAGAAATTAGCGTTTGGATGCGCATTGTGAGCCTTTAAACTCTCGCTGGCCTGTCCTATTTCCAGTTGCACAGCGGTGATCGCATGTTTGGCGCTAATTGGGCATCTTATCTATAGTCATCGTCCTACAGTAGATGTCTTCAAACCGAAAAAGTTTTATAGCAATTTAATATTGGTGAACACACCAAAACTGTATCGTTACGAATTGTGTAAAGCGCGTACATGTAAAAAAAATATAACACAATAAACCGTGTAAAGATTGACCTATTTCAAAAACTCACACGTACCGAGTCTTACCAGCAAGGTTCTCGCTCGTGGTGGCTACTTCAACGTTGAAAGAATACGTTAAGCCCGTTTAACAAAACTTAGTCTCAGAGGCCGTTTATATGTTCAGTGAGCATACTGTGGGGGTTCGTGGTACAGTGAGTGTAATATAGCAATGAAGAGTTTTCGGTGGGCTTCTGTCATCGATTAAGTGCCGTTGACATTACACTTCATTCTTGCCATTATGTAAAATGTATTGTATGTCCATATTGATCATGAATTCTACGCAACCAACTGGTATATATATATACAGGTAGCATGTGCTGACTACCACTCATGCTAGTTATTTCCCGTAGGCCTATACAGTGCGTTTAAATCATGTAATGGCGTATGTGGCACCTTGCAAAAGGTCGTAAGTTTTTCAACGAGCATTGTTTTAGTACTCCAAATAAATATTTTCCATATATATATATATATTTATTGAAGATTTGTTTATTTTTTTGAATTAATGCATTTTTTAGACAAAGGTGGATCCAGAAGAGCTGTTCACTAAGCAGGAGAGGATTGGCAAGGGCTCCTTTGGCGAGGTTTACAAGGGAGTTGATAAACGAACACAGGAGGTAAGGCTACGTGTGTTTGTGAGATGGGGAATGACGCTAACAAGCTTTTGTCATCACTTTCGCTATAGATTATTTTTCCTGCAGATACAATTTCTTCAAACAAATTAACAAATTGATTATTAATTTGTTAGGATAAGAAGATAGCCATTATTGAGGAAACGCCATCACCTGAGCACTGAGCAGATCTTGCTTGTTAGTGTTTTGGGGAGATCTATTTTGTTAGCCTTACTAATCTGCGTTGGCAGCATGTGGGCCATGCTGTACATGTATACATGTATGCGCACAGCTGTAACCACCTTGGTTACAGCATAGATATACACAACACATGTGTTGTGTATATCTATGGTTACTAAAGCCCAACAATTTCCTTGCTCAAACGTGCCAGTAAAAACCACATGTGAACGATATTATCAGCTATAAAATAACGTAGATCCTCTCATAGGTTCCAGAAGGTTATTTTTGCTTATTCAAATAATTTGTAAGTGTACACATATCATTTAGCAATTTTTGCGAATCTAACCGAAACGAATTTTTGAGATGTTTATTTTTACCCGGTTAAGGTAGGGGCACACGAGCGATTTTTATCGCCCGATCACCGCGAATTCTAAAATCGCTCGAAAAATTCGCCCGTGTGCCCGTTCACGTCGACGCCGATTTTAATCGCCCGATCGAATCGCCCGTATCCAAAATGTTAGATATTTTCGGGCGATTATTTACGCCGGGCGATTATTATCGCTCGTGTGCCCGTGACCGGCGTATTTTGTCGCCCGATCGATTTTTCTAAACCAATCGGACGTGTTGTTGATATCATGTGATGTTAAAATGGCTGCCTCCAATACTGTAGAAGTGTGGACTCGCGAAAAGGAAGGCGAATTGGTATTTCTGTGGTCGGAAAGGCCATGCCTTTTTGACATTACGATCCCTGAATACCGGGATCGTGTAGCGAAGGAGGTCGCTATTACAGAAATAGCGCTGAGACTTGCAATGAATGTTTCCAGTTCTTTTACTAAATTCGAGTAGACCCCTCTACCTTTCCGGCGCATTATCCAACTCCTGGACCACGAATTTCGATTCGCCCAACGAGCCCTTCTCCGTATTTTGTTTCTTTTTAGAAGCAAGTAAACAGCACTAACAACAGCAACAACCTTTTTTCGGCGGTTCGCCATTTTGTACCGATCACATGATCGATGGAAAATTCTGTCGAGTGGCGTACGCGTACGCTCTCAAATTCGCTACGTGTGCCCCTTCGTGATCGGGCGATTAAATTCGCTACGTGTGCCCCTTCGTGATCGGGCGATTAAATTCGCTACGTGTGCCCCTTCGTGATCGGGCGATTAAATTCGCTGGCGATTTTAATCGCCGCGATTGGGCGATAAAAATCGCTCGTGTGCCCCTAGCATTAGGTAACGTAGCACAGCCAGCTAGTGGTCATGGGTAAGGCTAATGAGATATATTCATGAATGCAGATAACTTTGCAGCCTACTTACTATTTCGCATGCATAATTTCTATTGATGTGAAAATTCGGTGTGCATAGATTTGTTTCCACAAGCGTACTGACATATATGTGATACATTATTTTATGTATGATACACTGTATGTAATTATTTTATGTATGTATGTATTTTATAATTTTCTCCTCGTGTGAACGCAGCTTATATAAGAACTGGGCATGCTCGAAAAACATATCTGGAAACCTCCAAATACCTATACATAGTACTTGAAATAGGGCAATAAAACGACTCTCATTACTTGGTCAATGGTTATTACTTTATAACTGCACGTTTTATTGTCACAAGTTCACGCTTTCACACTGCTGGTTGCGTAGACTTCTATGGCTACGTGTACTATAGAGTCTATATAAATACCATACATTTTGCCAACATCCCATATATAGATATTTTACAATTGCCCTCGTCGTTTGTCTTTCTACAATTATGTGCATTGTATAATTCGCAAGATCATCACTTTTAAAAGCGTTAAAATTCTGCGCAAGCTTCACGATGAGCTGAATAGTTAACGTGTGCACGCACATACCATGCGAGCCCTCACTCTCTGTCATTTTACTTTGACACTCTAATTCTCTCTCTCTCTCTCTCGCTCTCTCTCTCTCTCTCTCTCTGCTATTTGACATTGACACTCTCATTTATGATGCATGTTTGCTGTGTTTGTTGTGCAGGTCGTAGCAATAAAGATTATAGACCTTGAGGAGGCTGAAGATGAGATTGAAGACATTCAGCAGGAGATCATGGTGCTGTCTCAGTGTGATAGTCAATACGTTACAAAATACTTCGGCTCATACCTCAAGGTAAGCTATCAGCTTGGAAACAGCCATCTTCTAGAATGATGTCGGTTACTTTATCGACTGCGATGTGTAACTGCACAGAGTTTTTAATTCAATAAACCTGATATGAAATTGAATATATACAAATTTATCTCTTTTTTGAAACACTCGAGCTTAATCGTATACCAGCGTATTATTCGGTATACTTGCACTCGTAACACATATAATGTCACATACACTAGACTCATTGATGCTAAGGTACATTTGTTATGCCCCATGAAGCAGAACGTGGTATGAGCGTTTCAGTTGTTGCTTTCATTCAGCAAACGTTGGTGTAGTGGGAGTAGTGTTATAGTTATGGTATTACTGAAGCGAATTGGTATTTCTGTAAAGGATGCGACGTCAGCGTTTCTGTCGAGTTTTCAAGCACTGACGAGATACAGATGAAGGAAAAAATGTGCTAAATGATTCGAAACAGCGAATTTGCGAGAATGAATGTGAAATGCTTGGCCGATTCTTGGCAGGGAACTAAGTTATGGATCATCATGGAGTATCTTGGAGGAGGTTCAGCACTTGATCTCTTGAAGGCTGGACAAATCGACGAGACGTACATACAGATCATTTTACGAGAAATTCTCAAAGGCCTTGATTATTTACACATGGAAGGGAAGCTTCACAGAGATATCAAAGGTGACTGACTGTGTGTTGTTGGCACTGTAAAAGTGTCTGCAAATGTTGCAAAGTTTTTTCCGTATGTGTGTGTTATTGGCTGGTGGGTATTAGTGCATGAATCCTTTGCCATTTTTAACCTGAACAGCATGTTACTTTGAGATTTCTTACAGATTGTGAGCTCCTAGCCTATCATTCTTGCTCAAAAACCAATAATGTGTTTGGTTTCCTTGTCATTCCTCTTTTAGAAGCCCAAACATTTCATGTTAAATTTTGTACATATGTGAAATCATGCATAGGCTTGGTATGATGAAACCTACGCTTCTTTTCCCACGGGAAATACCAACTCTTACCGTAATATATAACAAGTGCAGCTGCTTTTGTCGAAAAGTATTCAGCTGTGAGGCTTACCCGCGTTTTCCGCTGCCAAAAAAGTGTGAAAATTGTCCGATCTCGCGCCCGCGCACCGTCGACTGCAACCTCGCGTTGAGAGGGTCCCTAATCGTGCTGTTGGTTGTTGCAGCTGCTAACGTGCTGCTGTCGGAGCAGGGCGAGGTGAAGCTGGCTGACTTTGGAGTCGCGGGTCAGCTGACGAGCTCGGCTAGCAAGCGCACGACGTTCGTCGGCACGCCGTTCTGGATGGCGCCCGAAGTGATCAAACAGTCGGCCTACGACTTCAAGGTATGTATGCTGCTGCTGACGGCTGTATGCTGCTGCTGCTGCTGCTGCTGCTGACGGCTGTATGCTGCTGCTGCTGAAGGCGGCTGTATGCTGCTGCTGCTGCTGCTGAATGCTGTATGCTGCTGACGGCTGTGTGCTGTTGCTGCTGCTGCTGCTGCTGACGGCTGTATGCTGCTGCTGCTGCTGCTGCTGACGGCTGTGTGCTGTATGCTGTTGCTGCTGACGGCTGTATGTTGCTGCTGCTGCTGCTGCTGCTGCTGGTGGTGGTGGCGGTGGCGGTGGTGGTAGCAGTGGCAATGGCGGTGCCTGCTGCTGCTGCTGCTGCTACTGTAGATGGCTGTATGTGCGACTGGAGCTGATCAGTATTTATACTTGTGCTAGAATAATGTTGTAGATCGATTATCGGTAGTGTGGGCAATGGGATGTGAGTTAGGCTCATTGAATCGCGACGTGAATCAGTAAATTGTAAAATATGTATGTTTGAGTTTGTTGGTAACTTCGAGCTTCTATTGTCAACTGTTGTATAACTTGGCTTGTTAAGCCATCATAGATATGCATCATACTGATATATAGGTGAAATACTTATTCTAGTGATGATGAAAGTGATGAAATGTTAAATAAATTTAAAAAGAAAGATATTTTTTAAATGTCTGTTATATTGGTTAATCATATGATGGTATAAGAGTAATGGCATTAATAAGAACAAGGAGGGATTTGGTGTCACACTGATACGTGCTAAATCTTCCATTGCATTTCATTCATTCTACTTTGCAGGCTGATGTATGGAGTTTAGGCATAACTGCAATAGAACTAGCAAAGGGAGAACCACCGTATTCAGACTTGCATCCAATGCGTGTACTTTTCCTCATCCCAAAGAACAACCCTCCACAGCTGACTGGCAACTACAGCAGACACTTCAAAGATTTTGTTGATTCGTGTCTGAATAAGGAACCAGAAAATGTACGCCAGGCATTGTCGTTATATTAGTCAGTTAAAATTCTAAAGATACTTTGAACAAACATAAAAACATGAAACATTTCAAATGTTTTGTGGTGCAACAACATTTGGAAACGCATAATATCTACTGGATCAGCAATAAAATAAATTTGCGGCGCAGTACAAAGCCACGTTCTGCCTGTATTGCATATGATGCTGCTACGTGGGGACTTCACTAACTGTATCGACCTCTTTAACTATTCTTTTGCTGTTTCACAGAGGCCGACGGCAAAGGATCTGCTAAGGCATCCCTTTATCAAGCGGTCGAAGAAGACGTCATATCTGGTTGAGTTGATAGAACGCTACAAGCAGTGGAAGCTGCAGGGTGGATCCAACGGCGACGATAGCAATAGTTCTAGCGATGAAGAGTACGTGTTTTTGTGTGTGTGCGTGCGTGAGTGCGTGCGTGCGTGCGTCTATGTTGTGCGGTTTATTTTTTTGAGCTGTATTTTTATTCCTAACGAATTTGGAAAGCAGAGTAGATGCCGAGTCAATCGCTTGCTTAGACTGAATGGTGTCTGTAGAAAAGAAATGTTGTTTATTTAATAGACGGGTTTGTCCTGAACGTTCTGCCACGTGATGGACATAAAAACCTTTTAATATTACAGCTCTATAAACACATTATTGACAAGGATAAAGAAAATAGCTACGTCAAATTTTTGTCGTTTCCATCGAATCTGGCTGATTGAACATTCACAAAGAATTTCTGGCATTTCTCTTTTAGAGATGGCGGGGACGATCTGGAAGATGAAAAGGAACCATGGAGCTACCCAACAGTAAAAGGTGCACCGAAATCGTTGAACATAGACACGCTTGAAGATAACATTCCACCACCTCGGCCATTGCCAAGGAAAGGGGATAAGCAGGTGGTGCACCCTGGTGCACAAAATGGAGAAGCGGGCATGAAAGATGGTTCGCCAATCCGGGATCCATACAACGGGGTAGGTTTTTTGTTTAATTAATTTCTGTTTTGTAAATTGTTGAGTTAAGCAAGTAAATGTTCTATCCACACTGATGCTATCTGTTGTTATGTTATGACCCACATTTTTTCCAAATATAGATGGAGTATTAGAGAGGATGTATGCTAAGTCACTGTAGTCAAGATCATTCTCACCTCTGTTATTTCTTATGCTGTTTTTCACATCACATGTTATTTCTTATGCTGTTTATATAATTCTCACCTCTGTTATGTTTAGTGCAGTTGCAGTGTTCTCATTTTCGTCTCTATGTTATGCCTCATTGCATAATTAAATGCAGTTGCAGTGTTCCCATGTTCACCTCTATGTTATGCCTCATTGTATAATATGAAACGTAGTTGCAGAGTTTTCATCGATTGCCCCTTTTAATTCGGCCAGACCTCAATAAAGGAAAATGCGTCACTCGTGGCTCTCACATCAGGGCTAATTAGTAATTAGTAATTGATACGGAGGCTGTAGCGTGTTGGCTTTTGCTTGCAGCAGCACTCTCCAGCGAGGAAAGCTCCGCCGGTGCCGCAGAAGGGGCTTTCACCTGATCGCCAACCAAGGATAGAGCCACACTCTAGCCGACCACATCCGCCTGCTGCCAGTTGTCTTTCATCGATCCTTTATCCTATTATAACCGAGGTAATAATACGCCATAGTACAGACCCTTTTACATGCGAATGTGACTTAAACATAACTACATAACAATAATCAACACAGGTATATTTCTCTTGGACTTTCCACATTGCCTAATGTGTGGCACATACCGGTGATATAAGTATGTGCAAAACGTGTATCTCTCTCTCTCTCTCTCTCTCTATATATATATATATATATTTAGAGAGAGAGAGAGCTTACTTCAGTTTAATGGCGATTCTGTAGTTTCTCCACCTGCACATGCTAATCGTGGCGCACTATATCGTTTGACTCGCAGTTACGAAACAAGTACACGACCGGTAGTCGAACCCCGCACGCGGCCTCTGATGCATTCGAGGAGCTCAGAAACGCATTCGATATCGCTGAGAGGACTTGTCCCGGAATCAGCGAGGAGTTGTTGACGGAAATCGTGAGGAAGCTGTCACCTGGCCTTAGCGAACTGAGGCTGAAGCATGCAACCGACAAATTACGGGGGTATGTAGAAGCAGCGGTGGCCGCCATTGGTTGCTAATATTGGCCAGTTGGGGCCTTTGTTGTGTATTATTCGGTAGTAACGCGATTTGTGTAAATGAACGATATCAAAATTATTTAGTGAATCATGTGGTGGACCACGTACTCGAGAAAAAGCCATTTAATTTTCGTAATTTAGTCATTTTGTAGAATTAATTTCACATTCTTGAAAAAATCGTAAAATTTTTATGCTTATTTACGTTTATATCTACATTGAAAAATTTGAAGTTTACAAATTTTCATAGTTTACCTACGTTTATAATAATTATTGGTGTTATTTCATGGTCAAACTGTATAAGCTTCATATGGTAAATGCTGGGCATAAAAGCTTTATTGATTGTGCCAAATAATTTGGATCTTTATTGTTTTCTAGGTTAAGCTTATAGAAGAGAATGATCATGTGCATGCCACTTTCACACGTTATCCAGCATCATCCAGAACGTTCCGCATCGAAAAGAAACAGAGCAAGTTTAGAAGAGGAATGAAGATGAATACAAATGAAAGTGCCAAGAAACTCTAGGAGTGCACTTTAGTGAATTGCCGACAAGGGGCTATAGTATGAGGCACAGCTGAGTTTGCTTTTTGCTCCGTGGTAATATGCAGAGCTCGTCTACATGTATAATCAAAGGGTATTTAGTAATTAATCACACCACAGCACAAACCAGAATTGACTGCATATATATATATATATATATGTGTGTGTATATATATGTACGTTGTCATTTTTCACTGCAACATGGTCTGTAGTGAGAATGAAAAGGAGATGAAATGGTCAGCACGAAGGGTAGTGTAGCTGTGTTGTGTATAACCGAGTGTGAAGAGCCGGGCAGACTACTGTGCAACAAGTTGATTGATGTTGCCAAATTCACACACGCACACGTGCACTTGTACACACAAACGCACGCGCGCGTCCACACACACAGACACGCACGCACGCACGCACACACAAACACAGATACAGACAGACACACACACAGACACACAACTTACAAGGCATGGTCTAATAGTTTCCTTTTTGTATGGGCACCGGCACGTATAGTAGCGTTTTATGTAGGGTTTGACATGCCATACACATTTACGTGCATCTCGTTTCCATGTACTTAGGGAACATGTGAAGCTTACGCGCTTTGGTCAAGTGCTGTTTTGGACTGTGTACGTGCTTATGCTGTAGCCTATGTATCAGTGTATGTTACATGCTGCCGTAGCCCTCACCAAATAACGCTGGAGGTTAGATGAGGATATTTTTGTAATGTTGCCTCTATTTCGAGTTGTAAATAGTCATGATTGATATGTTTTATGCATTTGTGAAGTGATAAATATGCCATTTGATTTTGCCTGCTATCGGGAATAGATGACGGCTTGCTGTCAGCCGTAGCTTATCGAACACGAACCGGATTTCTTGTTGCTTTACGTGTCATTAAAACAGGGTACATCCTGCGTATTTCAGTATCGCCGCTTAGCGATGCTTGAAAATTCATGACACATGTTATAGTCTCTGTACTGATACTTTTGGGGGAAAACCAGCTAATGACGTGCGGAACCATACGGATATGATGTGAATAGAAGTTATAGAACATGTTAACAGGAACATCAAGTAACAGATTTATAGCAGTGTGAGGTATCTGTCACTCATTGTCACTATAGGGTTCACGTGTTACTAGTGCACCCGCTTGCTGACACCAACCAGAAAAACCCTATTACATGCAGCACAAGTCAGTGATCTGTAAATAATGCCTAAAAATTGAGCTGCATGGAATTGGGTCATTTAGTTGGATGCTCGCAATTTTGTCAATTTGGATTGAGATGGGGATTGCAGACGCAATGCATACTGCCTGCCACCTGTTACTAAGTGTAAGCACTTCTTATTGGAGCACCCTAGGTTTTATTATGAGATTGCATAACGTGGTCACAGATTGTAGCCAGTCTCCAACCCACTGCATGCATGTGTTGAGCAAACTGATAAAGGCAGTTCTGTGAGTCACGTCTTCTGCTGTACATGTGGCCATTCGTTTTCTTTGTTCGCAATCAATCATATAACGTTGAACGAATGTCCATCGTCAGTGGTTTTCGGGATTCATCAACACATTTCACTTTTCTCTACTTCATTCAAATACTAGACCCATAGCGGTACACATTCTATTGCAAAGCTGCAGGTGTATAAGTGCATCTTGTGCAACAGGATGCGATCAATTTTGCCAGATTGGTGTGTATGAGAACACAATGCAACACACTGCTTCAATCGGTTTCTGTGCTGCGCTTCCCTTCCCCAGTTATACCTCTGCAAACTGTCTCAGCTTATTCGTTTGAAACAGTGAGAGATGTTAAAGGGTTAAAACAATCTGCCCCATGTTTTAGTAGTTAACATACATGTTTATTATACAGAATATAACATTAAATTGTTGTACATGCTTTCTGAGAAATGATGCGAAATAAATAATTATTATCAATCACACATTTTTGTTCCAGGTTTGGCAGTTCATGAGTCAAAGCTGTAATAGACAGTTGAAAAGTAGTTTTCATACTTTAATCTCTGTTAACCATGTGTAACTCTGTGTAGAGACTAATAAGAGCATTGACTGCATTGAAAAGTATTTACATCACACAAAAATTGATGATAAAATATATCCAGTAACCATAGTTAGAGATCTCAATGGTCGAGACCCAGTATTTTAAAGAAATACTCAACCTGAAAAAAGACAAAATTACAGTTTTTATCCTATTTAAATGTTGGCTTCAATCAAGTATAGCAGCCGGTACCACACGCATCCTTGAACCTGACTTGAGATTGTCTAATAGAAACCAGCAAATGGCAAAATGAGGTAGCTATTCTCATATTCTACAGTGATTGTACACGCGTGTACTATACCTCTAGGATTCCATCTTCGGGAAGATCAGTGCAGTGAATTGCATTCTTAATCTTATCCTTTCCGTATTTGGCACGCAATGTGTGTGGTCGTAACTGTCGTCCTATCTCCTGAAAGAATGTATGCACGTTCATATGGGTGCTATTCTATCGTACTATCAGGTTTAAATGACGAGTGATTGTGCTGAGGCGTGTCCGCTAAGCAAAACCTCTGTTAAAAGACGTCATTGTAACATGGTGCTGGTGAAGATGCTGTCTACCACGCTGTTGCTACAGACAGCTGGTGAGACAGACAAAATACGATCGAGCATGGCTCTCATCGTTACGATGCTGGTGCTGTGTGGGACGTGCATGGAACAGTCTAGGTTATGCCAGCATGCTGCCGCGTATGATTGTTGAACGTTCAACACACAACTGTTTTCTTTAGGATCAAAACACCTGTTGTTTTTATTATTATAATTATAGCTGACGGTAGTGACACTGTGTTTGCCCGCGCCGACTGCTGCCTAGGATGCAAACGAATCTGCCACACTCATGATAACTTACAGGGTCTGAAGGCCCAACAAGTTCTCTGAAGTCTTGTGCCACACTTGGACTGCCAGTGATCTCTATGGCTATGCAAGGTCCTGCAGTTAGTTCCATCACCATTTGGTTGTACTCTACCATCACGCCCTTGTATATTTCCAGAAACTCTTCTGCACTTGCTCTCTCCAGGCTGAACTGTTATCCGTAATAAATAAAAAACCTTGAGCTCTCAGAAGAATAAGTACACGAAAATAGAAACTGTCTACATAGTATTGTGTACCTTATTTGACAGATTATTAAGTGGTGTAAAAGGGTGCATCGTAATTGCTTTCATAATGCATATTACTGCCTCTATTTTGAGTGTGGATGCAGGGATTTGTAGCACAATATGCAAGATGCATTAGCTAATCAGCAGGCAGTTGTATGTTAGGGAAGACTGGCATCACAACTAGGGCTCATGCTGTAAAAAAGTTTTGGAAAAAAACACTCTCCAATAGTTTTTAAAAATCTAAACGTTAGAAGGAATTTTCACAAAAAACACCTGCCATGGGTGCTAACCACACAGGCTACAATATCCAGTTGAAGTTTCAGAGAAGGTTCAGAGTGTTCAGCCTAAGAGCCTCACTCTTCCACATTAACCAGATTGGCACTTAAAGAAAAAAAGTAAACTGCTACAGATGCCAGCGTAAGGAAGGAGATGAAAAAACTTGCCAATTGGAATGCAGAGATGGTAAAGCCAGCACTTGATATATCAGAGATGATGTTTCCAATAAGCCCTATAATTGAAAAGATTTTATCCTGTTAAACAACAAGAAAAATAATTCATTTTACATAACAATATTTTACATTTGTTTGTTTATCTCATCACCCCAATTACCAGGACACTGGATCTGGAACTACAGTGTTTGTATGCACATATTTGTGGCACGACAGCTACCATGCTTACAGACCAGTAGTTTCCAATGTTTTTTTTCTGTCCCCCAAAATTTGCCCCTAGCAGGGCTTTCTTTTGCAGCCTAATGAGGACCCTGCAACCCTGGTTTGAGTTGGGACACAACAGCTGCTACAAAAGTGAGAGGTGTTTATGAGTAATAGAAGTAATTTGTACCTGCCAGTACAGCATGAGGTTTGATAACACAGCAGGTGCAATTCTCACACTTCACAGTGCTCTCTGTCACGTGTCCAGAATCGAAGAGGTCCAATTCCTTCGTTATAAGAACAAGACAGTTATTAGAAAAAGACAAGAATTTCTGCACCAAACTAAATAGTTTTGGAAATGGATTATGTTGAACTGAATGGCAACTGGCACCTAGGCTAGGTGATATATGACAAAATAACAGCCAATTCACAGAGATGTTACAGTGTCTCTCTCACATCCTCATGACACATGTATGCAAAATTTCAGGCAGTAACCCGACTGTAAGACTAGACATTTGCAATGTTACACCAAAGATGTATTTGCGTGGCTTGAGGAATTATTTGGCTTTTGATAGGACCTGGCTATATATGTGAACAAAGTACTAGATTCAAGTGATAAAAATAATGTTGGACATAAATACAAATTAAGAATTCTTTGAAAAATACAAAAAATAACAAAAGTTATTAAAAATAATATGCAGAAAATGCATGGTCGTACCTCTCTAGCAGATGTGACGGAGTCGGGGCCATGGCAAGCATTTCGAAGCTTGCAGCCGCCAAACTGAGCACGAATGCTACCTGATGCATGCACCTTGGCTTCAGCTGGGTCTGAAGGCCCTAACAACTCCTGCCACTTTTGCACCCCATTTTCTGCCATCAACTCTAGTATCAGTATCTGTGCACTGCACATAAACTGTACCAGGTCGCTATGAAATATTAAGCGGAAGAAGTGGCTATAGTTTTTCATTAGAGGATACAGAATGACTTTATTAGCTCAGCTAGTCTTAGCCTAGACTTTGCCACATCCAGGGGGAGCCAGGAATGGCATGCATTATAAGCACAGGTAACACAGTGCACATGTTAGGTAAACATTGTTCTGATGAAGCTACCAGGTAATGCATGGGAATATTTACAGAAGTAATTAATTACAGTGTTTGTATTAAAGCTATATTATTTATACTCAAAGAATGGTGTTCTTGAATGTTTCTCGTATAACTTCTCAGCGCCATTCTTTTTCAGTCGAACCATCCGTGCTGCACAGATCTTGAATCCGTTTTTCTCAATAGTAGTGATGATTTCGCCAATTCTAATCATGCCATCTGGCTTTATGATGGCCAACGTTCTGAAATTGTCAAGCAAAATCTTACATACTACTGGTGCTTATTATTACTACAAAAAAATGAGATCGTAAACAAACTAGATACATTTTTGTTTATGTAACTTAGAAATTATGTAAATATACATGTGTTTTAAAGTAATAAAAAGGCATTTTTATTTGTATACTTTTCCTGTCTGCCTGATAATTTATTAGCAGTGTGCTGGTCAGCATATCCAGTTAGTGTTAACTGCCTTGATAACACATTGATGGTACTTCCAATGTATAAATGCTCAGGTCTAACATTATCAATCCCTGTGCGTTTAAGAAAGGTTCTTCTATTCTTGATATCATACTGGAAAATAAAAAGTATTATAAGGTCTACGCTTGTGTCACACTGACAAAGTATTTTGAACTTGAACCGATGAATCTAACAAGTAATTGCTTATTTTCTGTGAATGAGTTGCTGTTAAAGTAGCTTCAAATGTGTTCATACATCACTGTTAAATTAGAAATTAAACAACATAGATTTAAAGACAAAATATAATTGACGTTTACAATTTACCATTTCCACTGTACCATCCTCACAGTAAAAGATGAACTGGTACTTTCGTATGAGTGATGCATTCGAGTCATACCACTCGGCCAAAAAAGCATATGTGTCATCAGGAGCAGACTGAAATATAAAATAAAGAAAACCTGTCAAAGAATTATAGACAGAAAAGAATGGACATGAACTACAATAATAATGTACATGCACGCTTAGTACATGTACGCTTTGCTACCTGCATCTAGGGTGCATCAGGGCGGTAGGTGCATTGTTAACACCGGCAGCATTGAACGTGTTAATGAGGGTGGTCTCTAGGGCTGTAACGATACACATACCTTTCAATTGGATCCGTATCTCGATATTAGCCTCTCGATTCGATTCCTTCGATTCGATTCCCAAAATATTGAAATGTTACGCTTTGGAGGCAGTAGTATAGTACTACTAGTAGTAGTAGGACAAAATAATCTCCAGCTCGAATAAATAGTGATATTTCGAGTATTGGCGTTACTCTTGCAGCCACAGGCACTTGATACGTCTCAATAAAATAAAATAAATGGTAAATAAACACGAAATGTATTTACTACCAAAGTCTTAATGTTTCGCTAAGTTTTTTTGCCTATAATCACCTGTAAATGCCAGTCAAATGCTCATCTGCAACACACAAGTACACCGCATGCTAGCTGCTGCACACTGACACATAAAAATATAGTTTATATATTATATGACTATATAGTATATATTTATGTGTCCGTGTGCAGCAGCTAGCGTGCGGTGTACTTGTGAGTTGTGTGTTGCAGATGAGCATTTGACCAACTATATATAGTATATATTTATGTGTGGGTGTGCAGCAGCTAGCGTACGGTGTACTTGTGTGTTGCAGCTGAGCATTTGACCGGCCTTTACAGGTTATTATAGGCGAAATAGAGTAGAGAAACATTAAGACTTTGGTAGTAAATACATTTCGTGTTTATTTACCTCTTTTTTTATTGAAACGTTCCAAGTCAGTGCCTGTGCTTGCAGCCTGATCGGGCTCTCACTCTGTCTCAGAGACAGACAGAGAGTAACGTGAATAAAATAGTAGTGGCAGCGCCTCGTTCTACTTTTTTTATTTTTTTTTATTTAGGCAATTATCCATCATATTATACAATAATAGGCCCCTACATAGCATACTTTTACAATAAAATTCTGAATTCATAAAATTGGATAACTACCAAGCCCAAGGATATAATTATACACAAAAAGCATGACTAGCACACACAGTGACACACTACGACTACCATTAGGCCTAGTATTATCTAGGTGATGGCACTGATAAAAGTATCAGGGTGTCAATGAATTAGTATCAAGTCAAATACTGTAAATGTGGAGTAATTACCCACCATTACTAGTGAGTAGTGGCAGTAGTGCATCTACACTTTCCTAAATTCCTAGTATGCCGTTGCGTGGGACGCATTTGTTACTGTTAGATGGTCATGTGTCGTTTGATATGTGGTACAGTCAATGGGTACAGTATTTACCAAACCCGCGTGATTTCTCGAGATTCATCATAGGCAAGATGGCAGCGAACAAGCGAAAACAGGATGAGAAACAT